TGGAAGCACTTTTTCATAAAGGCAGCTCAGTTTAAATTAATACAGTAATAAAGTTTATCTTGTTGAAGGTGCTATTTCTATGCTCACTTAATAAAATATTTTATTGATAGAGATTTGTAGGTTTAATTTCTTCTAAACTGGCTTCAGCAATCTGTCATTGGTAGAGTGTTAAAATAACTGTGACTCTTCAATTTCCTGTTTGCATTCAAATGGACATGTTTTTCTCCCTCTGATCTAGAGCTACTAGATTGTTTGGAAAACTTTGTAGCAAATACCTCCTTGACACTTGCTCTAATTAATGCATTTTTAAAGCACTTGGAAAGTAACAGTCGTCTTCCTTCTGGAAAACTTTCCAGCTCTTTGAAGCAGCTGGGAAATTAACTGAAAGCAGATTGTGAAAGAGATTATTTCCTACAAATACAATGTTGAGTTAACTTAAACTTACGTTCTTGCTTTCGTAGTTCTTGACATTCTTTCTGTTATATGCTAATAATGTAATCTTTTGTAAAATCTATTCAGGTGTAGAATTTGGGGCTCGAATGATAACTATTGATGGAAAACAGATAAAGCTTCAGATATGGGATACGGTAAGTAATAAATCATAGAAATTATTTAAACATATGGCTCCACTAGCTTTTCCTTTGTTCTGGTTAAGCTCTCTATCATTAGCACCCATGTGAGACTATGTACTTTGTCTTGCAGCTTTCTTTGGTTTCTATGAAGATTAAATATTTGCTAAAATTTCCTTTTTTGGTGTGATGTATTCTTGAAACAGTGCAAATTTCTGCTGTTCGCACTGTAACTTTACTTCCTCAAGTAACATTTTGTCAGATTTGTAAGACTGGAATTTGTGCTGCCTCACTTTTTTGTGAAAGGTTTCTGTATTATTAAGAACTTACATTTCTCTAAATAGTCTTTCTCTGTGCATTCATGCAAGATCTGGTTAATATAACATTCTGCTGGGAAATTCTGATGTGTCTACTAGCTTCAGTCAAGAATTCTCTAGAGGAAATGTTTGCATTTACAACGTAGAAGAAAAGATATGGCTCGCTGTTTTCACAGAAGATGACTTGAGTTCTTAAGTTTACTATAATCATGAAGATAGTAAATACTTCAGACAATCAAGAAGGGACTGGTAAAAGTGTAAAGTTTCGAAAAGCCTGCCAAAACCCAGACTTTGACTTTTGAGGGGATTCAGGTTAAGAACATACATTAGCAAAGGCAGCTGTTTTCTTCTTGTCAGTCACTTTATCATAGACCAATCAGCCTCAATGTCTACACTTGTGATGCAATGGCTTTAAGATGCTCATACCGATAGCTGTGTCTTTCAAATGTGCTTAGCTGTTTCCTAAGGCAGGACTGTTTCCTTCTCCAAAAGCATTTTAGGATACCTTTAGAAACCGACAGATACATGACCCTAGCCTTATGTATGTGCTCTTTCTGGTATAGCAAATCAATGAAGGGGGATACATTTGTATATGTGTGCCTACATACATGCATGTGTATATAAAAATGTAAACAAATGCAATATTTTAGTTAACTTCATAGGTAAGATCCAAAGTACCTTACTTATTTTACAAGTTCATCACTTGCAAGGAGGCACAGGTGTTAGATGCCATTTCAAGTTCTCCATGAAAAGGTATAGAGGAATATGGTTAGATTGTGATTACTTTAGGCTTTTTCTGCCCTGGGCATTTTTACTATTATAACTGTGGATTGCTGACTACCAAGGTGGCTGACCATTTTTTAAGTTCAATAGACAAGCAAATCTCTGCATCAACAGTAGCTTCAGAAGCAGACTTTTAGTATGTAGTGTGACTATATGAGAACATATCTACATTGATCCTTGTTGCCTGAAATTGGGACTAGATTCTCTGTAGACAAAATTACTAATTTTACTACCAGTGCAGCCACGGTCTTTCATTGGCTTTTGAACTGATTTTGTTAATGTGCTATTATCTGTTCCTTGGATACAAGTGAACTTCAATGATTTTTGAGGAGATTGTGTTTTTCTTAGTGCCTCTAACTCGGTAGCTCTTTGCAATGTTTGGTTTCTTGAATGCTTGCAAAGTGTCCAATAACCAAAATTTCAATGGAATTGTTTTTGATTATAACTTACAAACTGGTTTTGGGCAGGGATTTTATCTGGCTAGCTTCTTAACTGTATCATACATAAATTAAAAATATTCATTAAAAGCATTCATACCCTGAGTAGATTGTACGTTTGTGTTGTAGTTAATGATTTATAAGTTCTAAGCAATGGGTGACTTAGTATATTGGCCGTAGTTAAAATTTTAACTGTATACAATCTGATTTTTAAAACACAGGATATTTCTGTTCTAATCCAATCTTAGCTTGTAAGTGTATCTAAATTCCACTGTCTCAGTTCTGATCTTGGGTGCAAAGGTGTTGAAGGAATAGCAAGGTAAGAAATATGATAAGGTAATTGTCAAGAGATGTTTTACTTACGAGTGTTAAGGTACACAACACAAAGATGTCCGTAATGACCAAGGTTACCATGTCTGTATTGTGTATCTGGGTTGAGCATTTCCTGAATTTCTGTTAGCAAAAACTGCTAGCTGTTACTGGTGCTATCTCCATATTTATTAAGCTGTAACAATTTCTGTTTGATAAGAGAAAGTTTGTTTTACACCTATGGTTAAGGAAACACATGCAGCATTTATGTTTTCAGTTGGTGCTTACTGAGTCACAGCACCAGTGATTTAGTGCTAGCCTTACATATCTACTTTTAATCTATCACTGAACAAGATGCATCTTGAGCAGAGACATCAGAAGTGGAGAAGTGGATAAAATTTGTTTTGACTGGTTAACAATGAATAAGGACTTGCCTTCTTAAGACAATCAAACACTTTAATTCAGATTTTTCTGGCCAGATATTTCTATGCAACGGTGCTCAGTTTGTGTTGTCTACAGCAGATCACTGCAGCTCCGAGGAAAGGTATATCTTAATAATGGGAACATACGGAACCTGCAGCATACCTCACTGCAGGAGTATGTCATAACTTACAGGGGCAGCTGAAGCTTAACACTGTTGCACGTCTGTGAGATCCATTCGTGTGCTCTTCTTGTATCATAACTCATGAATATTTGGCTTTTTCATTAGCATCTTAGTTTGGATCAGAAGTGTGTTACAGAAGTTAGCTCTGCTTACTGCAGTCTGGTTTTCATGTGGGAGTATGCAAACTGAATTCCTTTCAGATGAGGCTGAACTGGAAGATATGCTCAAGGAATGCACGAGTGCTCATTAGAAATTGTAGTCCACTATTTGGTCCTGTGAGCTGGTAGTCTAGTAAAACTAGTCTGATGCAATTAAAAAAAAAAAAAAGAACACACACACCAAAAAACAAACAACAACAAAACCCTAAAACTCCACATTCCATGAAAGATATTCAGTGTGGCCCTTGCATACTTAGTGGTAGGTGTTGCAGTCTCAGCTCTACTGCTGATCATATGTCTAGACCAGCAAATGGTATGTCGTGTTCTCTCCCAGCTACAGGCTGCTCCTGATCTCCCCACTGCTGGGCTCTGCAAGCTTGCTGCTATGTGTGCTGTAACACGCCCGGGTTTTTAGGTCTGTGAGTCCTCAGGTTTCACTTTTTCTTTCTGATGCACTTAGGTCAGTCAAGGGGAGTGCAGGTATTGGACCAAATTGTTCATTTGTCTTGTCTGTTTTCAGTCTCTAGATTATTTCCTTTACTGTGTCTTTAATCATAGTAATGGTTTTCAATAGTTGGATAGACTGAGAAATATTTTTGTCAAAACTGGTTAGTTGGTAATTGCCTACTACAAAGCTACTCCTTTGTGGCAGTGTGGTATTTGAGCTAGTGTCAGTTACAAAAATAACTTTTAGGGAACTAGAAGTGGTCAACAGAAGCTGGTAAGGATCAAAATTACCGTTCTGGGAGCTATTAAGCTTTGTGAGTTTAAACAAGCTGTGTAGATGAGGTTGTTTGTCTTGTGGCAGTATAACACTGAGAAATATTAAAATTGCTCTTCCTCAGAAAAACTTGATTGTTGTAGAGACATACTGGGCTTGTTACCAGGCTGAGTCAGTAGCCTTCATTTTGTTGTTGGGGGGGATGTTCTGTATTGTATTGACTGTTACTAACAAGTCATTGTGATAAGCAAAAAATAAGTAGTAGTTGAAAGAAGCAATTTTAGTTCTCACAGATACTGCAGGGGGAGAGATCAGTGATGATACTAAGTAATACTACTTATGTTCTCTAAATTGATATGAATGAGAATTTTTCCTGTGTATTTAAATACAACATTTTCTTAATATCTATTTCTGCTTCATTTCATGGAAATCTGTGATTAAAAAAATGTTTATTCATTATTATGTTTCTATAACACCTTAGTCTTGCTTAGACTAAGACTAAATATCTGAAATCTTTTCTTTTTTATAAGCTAATTTCAAGTAATTTCTTGGTTTCCATACAAGTGAGCTTTCTAATCAAATTTACAGTGTTTTCTAGTAGTTGAGAGCTACGCAAAAAAGCGCGTTTGTGCAAGACGGAAGGCATAATTGTTGAAGGCATATCTCTTTTCCCTAAAACCACATTGTGACTTGTCCGTCCACTTTCAGATATTCTGAATATACTAATCCTTCTTGGAAATTCAGTTATTTTTTCATGTATTTGCAAATGATTTGGATCTGGTAGAATGAAATAAAGTTCCCTTAATTCATGAAATGAATATTCATTTCATCTTAGTGATACTGACAATTGCTAGGATGTAGCACTCACCCCCCAGAGTTCTTTACTAATTGTCTACTTCATGAGATTTTCTACTTGCTTTGGTAGTCAGAGCATATTTTATGTTCATGGGAGTCAGAGCATAATTGTATGTTCATGGGCAGTTGGTGAATTCTTCTACTGAATTTTTACTAATTTGACTCTCTAACTGTTGTACCTGCAAGAATGTGGCTACATCTTACAGCTCAAGTTATGATGACTCTGTGCTCATGGCCCTCTGTTTTACTGCTGTAAAGTAACATCAAGAACTTGCAGAGGATCTATTTTGGTTCCTGAAACTAGTTTGATCATCAGTTCACAGACAGTGTTTGCTGCTATGTGGGGAGCATTAACTTATTTCTGGATTCATGGATGGGGGGGAATTTGTCCATTTAATAGTTATTCCTATTGCAGTTTGTGTAATAGGACCATCATCTGAATTTCAGTGTCAGTAGCTAAGTTATTGTTCACATCCAGGATGGCACTTTAGGAAGCTAAGGTAATGACACACCTTCTAGCTTAGTGTTCACAAACCTTTGTCCGTCATGTACTTAAATGTATTTGGTTATTGAAATACTCTGGTATTTCATTTTCTGACTGGTTGTAGATTTCTTGTCAGTTTATCTGTGGCTTTCTACAATAATAGAGCAAGCTCTTGCTTAGGATAAGGCCTTAGATGGAAGGAGGGGGAATCACCTCCTTTTGTCCGTAGTGCAACTCCCATTTTAGTGAGGGTAGCTACTTAAATGTATTTGAAACCTCTAGGTTTTATAAGCCGAAATAAATCATAAGGGTACTTCTAATAATGGAGGGCTAAAGCTTTCTGTTTCTCT